ACGGTCACCTATCCAACGCGGCCGCGGCCACCTTATTTTATCAACCCACGGTCAAATATACCTGCCTTGGGCGGCCAGGCGTGGTCACTCATCGCCCGGCGCGCTATGTTCAAAATTTTTTAATCGGCCCCTGACGCTGTGGACGAGCCGAAATAATCCATTCACACGCAGTTCTTGTTAGTCCCTAAAGTGAATGTTTACCCAAGCCTGTGATTGAAGCGTGTGATCCGTCATAAACCTATAAGCCCTGCCTACAACTCATGCACAAATCGTAAGTGAGGTGACTGGTCACTGCTTTGTTTACCTAATCAGTCACAAAGTGACAATGGACGTTAACATAAACTTGCAACAAAAGCCTCGCGTGTTCTCCGAGCTGTGGCGACCCGTGTATTTGTTTTACCATGGCACTCGATCTTCATCGTCTTACATAATATTTCATTTATTTTACCCTTGCATAAAATCGGCAACAAAAAAAAGCAAGCCAAAAAATAAACCAACAAAACAACAACAAAAGCAACAACATCAACAGCAAAACAACAACAACAACAGCAACAACTACAGCAACAACAAAACCGAAACCTTCTTACTTCATCCACCCCAAATTCAAAAGAAAACAAAAAGCCTTTTGAATTTGCCTCGCTCACGGCAGTCCAAAGCCTGAGATCAACCTCGGTTTGGACATTAGAAAAGAATGGTTTGCCTTTTTTATTTTGATCAGTCCTGCTTAAGCCGGCCACCTGTGTTAAACGGCCACTTTTCTTCTTTTCAAGTGGTGGCCGTTTTACACAGATTTGACTGATATACATCTTTTAAAAAAATATATTTATACACATCAGGCGCGGTTCATCCATAGAGCATGGTCGTGCAGTGCCGCCCAAAATTGTTCAATGTTCTATTACGTAAAACACCCTCAATAATAAAATAAAAAACCAGAAACAAACACTAGCCAAATATTATATCCAAACAAGGTCCCCACAGGCACCATAACTGTCATTTCTGTGTCTATAGCGCCGTAAAACATCCTACTATGCCATGCCAAAATCCACGCGCTTTAGCTAAACATAATACGATATTCAACAGTGTAACCTGACCTATAAATCATCCTTGGGGATAACCCAAGCGATGACGCCACTTGTAGCGAGTTTGGTGGTACATTAATATTAATAAGACGGCACATCTCAAATGTGCTCCTTCCGAATAGTGCCGAAACATAGCCCACAGTAGACAGTCTAAAAATAAACGAGATAGACCGTACGCTATTCTTTGCCAATATTATGTGAGCCCCGGAGCAATCCAGCGGAGAGCTCAAGTGAATTGCGATTGGTTCATTGTCTGTCTTGCCACTATTTTAAGTGACTCTGTGGCCGTGAACCTGAGGGAGGTGAACGTGACCGTGTTATGAGTTGTGCCTTTGAATGGTTTTGTAGTGGAGTAGTGAAAGTTATTACTTGAGTGTTCAGTTCCAATACAGGATGAACGAAAGTGATGTTTAGGTAACAAACAAATTTAATACTAGAAATTAAAGCGACAAGTAAAAAGAATGAAAATACAAGCACGAAGTCCTCCCTCACCAACCCAAATCTTAAAATTATACACCGTCTCATTTACTATGCCCTTGACTATCTTCAGCATGCGATAGCTTAATTGTGCACGTCCACTTTTTAGCCCCACGAGCCGCCCCTGATACATATATATATATATTTATATATATATATATATATATATATATATATATATATCTATATATATATAAATATATATATATATATCCCTTTATCTTTCTACGACTCTCTAACATTCTTTTTACAACACATTTTGAGCTTGTGTGGATGGATTAACAGATGGAGGAAAAAGGATTTTCTGAAGGATGTGAAAGAACGTTTTGTGTTGTGCATACGAGCATAATTTCCACTCAACAACAAAATCTTTGTTACTATTCTATATCATAGTTTCATGTAGAGCCTTTTTAAACGCCAGCAACACTGGTAATACAAACGAGATATTATGTTTATTAAGTCACGAGTATCAGAAATCTACGAAATGTTTCATAATCTTTAGATCTTAATATTATGTGAGGCAGCGTGCTGGAATCAGGCTCTCGTCAAAATAATCAAAGTGAAGAAACTTGCATTTTCCCGCAGGTTTATGAATTTTTATCAAATTTTTGTTTCGTGGTTCAACACCTTTCATGCCCATTAAAGAACTCATTTCTGAGTTGATTTTTCGGAAAAACGTTGATTAAAGGCTCAAAAAATGTAAATTTTTGGTTACCACGGACTTTTCAGCTAAGGAAATAACTAATCTTTGGAGCCATTTTCTCACTAATTTTACCTCTGAAAACAGGTGACCCCCACCTCCTTCATTCGCAAATATCTCGACTTGTATTCAAGATAAATGGATATTTTTTCCATCCAAAAAAAGACAAGTGAACAAGTTTTAAGATGATATCAATAACTTACATGCCCAACAATTGACGAGAGCATGATTCCACCATGATGCC